TCACGAACCTATGATGATCTGTCTAGAATAATATGATAAAATATAGCCAAAAGTGGTGAAAATGGCAGATACCAACCCGTACAATAGATATAAGATAGTTCAATAAGAAATAAATGTTAAATGAGAGTTACTGTGATAAAAGGATTTTCTACTGATTTCGTAATGGAACGTTATATTGCAAAATATGACATGATACAGAAGGAATCAATTTTAAAATCAGAAAATAACATTGCAAATAACTCAAATGGTATTTTATCTTTTGGACAATTCAGTAACTCCCAATAAATATGTGTTGTTTAAAATACAATTCAAAAATTAACAGCTGTTTCATTAAAAAGTATTATCCACATGGACAAAATGTAAACAAATCTGTGGAGGGATCTTTAAGGGCTTCTGGGGCAGAGCCCTAACAGGATTCACTTAGTTTTTCTTTTGGTAACTCATCTAGAGACCAAGACCTTTCTTTGGACACCTCTACCAAGTTTCTACGCCCAGTCGTTCTCTCAAATTAATGGAGACAAAGTTTCCAATTAAATATTTAGATTCCCCCATGTTAATCTTATGGGAGAAAATCCAACTTTGATGGAATATCCTGTCCAAACTAATAAAGATTTCAAAAAACGAAAAAGACTTTGCAAAACTACAGATCAGGGCAATTCATTTGACACTTTAATCATCAAAATCGGTCCAAAAATGAGGGAGGAGTTCTGTTTACAAAAATCGGCTTAGCGTATTATATATATATATGTCAATTTCACTGCATCAATTGCTAAATAAATAAGTGTAAACAAATAAAAGTAAACACAACAACATTTTACTGTAGTTTGTTTTGTAAACAGCTGAGTCAAAAATAAAATAATATTCATTTGAACAAAAGAACTGGTCACATGTTGAAGAAATTTAAAAAGTAAAAACGCTAGTAAAGCTAGTGACGTAATTAATTGTCTATGTTTATTATCCATTCCGTTATCAGTTCTAATATCCTTAATAACTAAACCACCCTCATTGAATTAATGTACATCGTAATTCCCCATATTCATTTATTTAAACTATAAAATATTCAGCGCCTCCAAACGTAACCACAACTAAACACACGCCAAACAACTTTTTAAATTTCATAAAAGGATGGTTAGTCTAATTTCAGTATCCTAGGTCAATGATGACGTTGTGTTCAATCTATGTCATTCATCTGTATATCTTTGGATAAAACCCGTCTGAGGCTGTGGTAATTTAAAATCGTATTCCTAAAGGATTCTTGATCTCCATCTTTATGACATCAATATTTCCGGGCCTAATCCAAACAAAGTTCAAGCATTCAAAAACATTGATTGGAAACAAAAAGCTGCCAAAATGAATTAAAACATGTAAAAATTGTGATTTTCCTACCCTTTCCAAAAAAGTTGAGCAGTAAAATAATTTGCATATCTTTTTTTTAACTCGTGTACAGAGCCTCGACTTGTACACATCGACGGTGTTACTTATCTCGGTGGTCTACTAATCTTACTTATTTCCTATAATCAATGGCATAATCAGAGTAAATAACCTCATAGTTATATAGGGCATTTTTATAATTAACCAGCTGTTAGTTAAAACAAATTATATTGCACTAAAACAAACCGAAGATTTAAAGATTACTTTAAAAAATAATTTGAACATCCTAGTATTTTACTATGTATAGTTAAATAATCCGTCATCCTCTTATTGAAGGATTGAACGTATCAATGATTAGCATTACACATAGTATAAATAAGTCAACCCTTAGTATGTCTTTTAATTTGATCCAAATGCCAAATTTGTGTTACGAACGCTGGATGTTTACAGCTGTTATGTTAAGCAAATTATTTTATGCCAAAAGCTAGTTTAGAATCTTAGCGTCGGCTGCTAGACTTTTCAAAAATTAAAAGTTAATTTCTAAAAAACTGGGACCCTAAACTAAAATTATGGCTTCGACATTCCCTAGTTCTCAAAATTATCTTTCTTTCAACACAAAAATCATGAAAATCCGTCGAGTGGTTGATTCAGAATCGTGAAATAAAAAAACACTGTTTCGTTTTAAGGTGTTAGCCCGTCCTACGTACGGGAATTCAGTAGTCAGTTAAAACCGTGTACAATTCAGATCAGCTAGTTTACACATATAAAGACAAAGTTTATTGCAGTTTTAATGTGAAAAATCATCTTGTAAACAAATGTTGTGTCACGAAATATATTTTTATTCCATCATAGGCCTATACTATATGCATTTTAAATCCGATAATTTTACAATAAAAAAGCAATTCTGCAATTTTTACGATGTGAAAAGCGTTGAAGTGAGATTTGCAGCCGATTCGCACAGACGCACACTGATTATAAGTAGCCTACAGTAGAGAGAGTAATAGTCAATTGAGAAGTGTATAGACCTAGTCAACGATACCACCTTCCATAGCATACCTGCCTCTTCCACAATTATTTTCACCACAATACAACAACTATACACAATTCCCAGTAGGTCTGAATAGAAACGACCTAAAATAAAACGATAGTATCCAATAAAATTCACAGTACACATAATTTAACTTTGGTGTCCTAACATCAAAACTTTAGTCACACCTATCCTTTATATCAATTTCACTGCATTAATTGCTAAATAAATAAGCGTAAACAAAGAAAAGTAAAAACAATAACAGTTTGTTTTGAAACAGCTGTTTGGTTTAAATAACATTCATTTGAAAAAAAGAACTGGTCACATGTAGCAGGAATATAAAAAGTAAACACGCTAGTAAAGCTAATGACGTAACTGTCAATGTTTATTATCCATACCGTTATCAGTTCTATCCTTGATAATTACCCACCCTCATTGAATAAATGTACATCGTACTTACCCATATTAGTTAATTCAAACTACAATATATACATAATTGAATGAAAAGTGACAATTTCACGTTTGGGGGCGCTGATATAGGTGCCCCCACCTACATTGATATAGGTGTAAAATAATTTGCATCTATCCTTTTTCATTAAGACTCGTGTACAGAGCCTCGATTTGTACTGTGGTTTAATTAATTTTAGTTAAAACTGTGGTCTAATTATCTCTACTAATCTTACTTATTTCCTATAATCAATGACAAAAATAAAATAACCTCATAGTTCCATAGTTTATATTTAACCAGCTGTTAGTTAAAACAAATTATATTGCTCTAAAACAAATCGAAGATTACAAAGATTGCTTTAAAAAATTATTTGAACATCCTAGTATTTTACTATGTGTATTTAATTAATCTGCCATCCTCTTACAGAAGAATTGAACGTATCAATGATTAGCATTACACATACCGGTAGTATAAATAAGTCAACCCTAAGTATGTCTTTACATTTTTATCCAAATGCTGAATTTGTGATACAAAAGCTTAATGTTTACAGCTGTTATGTTAAGCAAATTATTTTATGCCAAAAGCTAGTTTAGAATCTTAGCGTCGGCTGCTAGACTTTTTAAAAATTAAAACATAATTTCTAAAAAAATGGGACCCTAAACTAAAATTATGGATTCGACATTCCCTAGTTCTCAAAATTATCTTTCTTTCAACACAAAAATCATGAAAATCCGTCGAGTAGTTGATTTAGAATCGTGAAATAAAAAAACACTGTTTCGTTTTAATATTATAGATTATTCATAAAATTTAATATAAAACACAAAAGCTATTATGATTGTGGTAATTAAAGTGTTTCTAAGCTAACCCACACTCGTTCTATGCGATACAAATCTGACGGAGAAAAATGTTTCCTGCTGAAACCGTGGTGGGAAATGGAAAAGTCTCTTTTGAAAAATGACGAAATAATACAACGAGATCGAGGTTAAAGAGAGGAATATGTGAAAAATAGCACAGTACTGTAGATAAGTAACCGTTTATGTTTTAATTTGTATGTTGTAGTTTTCATTTATCTAAACATTCATACCTATCAAACTGCTAAGGCTTAAGTTTATTGTTAGGTAATTTTTGAACTAAGCATATTAACAGTTAGTTATGAAAATATTTTATTGCTACTGAAACTCAAGCTACTTTAGTCTAAACTATAATGTTGACCAGTTAAGCTGGATATTTCAACATTTAATAACACTGATTGGATTCTATACACGAAAACACGTTTAACGGTGGAATTCAATCGACGCTGGTTACATTTAAATGTTCGTAACAATAGTAATGAAATTGTCTACGAAACTACTGACAAGCTTTTAATGCAGTAATTGAATTAAAACTAACTGCAGTTTATTGTGTTTGAATACTATTTACAAATAAATAATTTGAAATGTCAATAGCACATACGAATGTTAAATTTTTTTGTTTATACACTGTACCATTTGATTTATACAGTTTATAAAATCTCCTAATGAACAATGTAAATATCAAAACTATCTATACAATTTTTCAATACTGTTACACAAGATATATTGATGAAGATATATTTAATTGCTTCACATACATCGTTTGTAGCATATTTGTCTTTCTCTTCTTACAAACTTACTGAAAGTACATAAAAATATGCCTAATGACACATGTATATTTACACTTTAATACTGTTAAAAACAACAACTGTTAAACACATCAATAAAAGGTAATATACAGTACTCTTTACTGTTTTGAACGTTACAAGTTACGATGGATAAAAATGCTTCAGAATACCTCGACAGAAATAATGCATTATAAATGTCTTCCTAGTGTACAAGACATAGGCAGGCACGCAGCGTATACTCTACACTCTACAGTCTACACAATACAACCATGAAAATGGCAAAAATAATGTTTATAGCGTAAGGAATATTTACCGAGCATTAGTCTGTGAAAAATGAGTTTCTCACCATAAATAGCAATAAACTGTACGTAACACCTAGCTTTTAGGAAAAAAATGTTTTTTCTCTAAACCCTAAAATTAGTACAAAAAATAATTAGCAACAATGGACTTTCATTCTGGTTTATATGGAATTTATAAATTAATAAAATTTTGATCAGACTTTTGCTTTGTTTCAGAGATGTGATGGAACTTGGTATTCGAGGTTCTGAGAATTAAGCTGCTACTGAATCTACTGAAGTTGGTAAGAAACATACGCTTGTTCACAAGACACGATGTCTAAAAAATATACTGTATGGTTAGACACTGATTGCAAACTTGGTTGAGGATGTAAATAACATTGAACACCAACATTTGGAGATGAGAAACTGACAAAGAATCTACTCAGTTAGATAAACATATTCAACCAATGTCACTACTGTAGTGGTATAGACGTAGTTGAGCAAATCTTTAACACGTATAATGTATTTCTTTGGTTATATTATCATAAAAGAATAACACTATATTAAAAATAAATAATTTTGGTATTTAAGATTGAAAATGTTGATAATTTATAATATAGTAAAAACCCAGAACTGGATTTCATCGTTAAAATAAAGTAAAGGTACATTTTAATCGAAAAACTAAAACTTTTCATGTAGAAAACACAAATTTCTTTGAAATTTTTTTACAAATAAATAATTATCTACAAAGACGATTTTTACATTTTTAAGCGGACATAATATTGAATAATACTTTCTCAGGGACCATTAAGACACTCAAGTGGGCAGATAAGCGTTATCAACCCTATTATTTTCCATTATAGTTTCAATCTAGTGTCCCTGGACGGTCATTATAAGTCCATGAAAGACGAAGTAAAATACATGCATTCAACCAATCATAATACGTTATCATATATTACTTAAAAGTTAACTTGGGATAGTTAAGTAATAGTTAAGTTAATTTTGGAATAGTTGCACATAAATTGAATTCTCCGTTTTATTTTATTTGGTTTAGTTCACAGGAACATTATAGGTTTTAAATGTACAGGAATGGTGGAAATACAGTTATGATAAACCATTCAGCAGCCGTCACATCGTTTCATTTTAAATAACTAAATCGTCTGGAATCGAGGTAGCGAGGAGTATTATCGATAGTTTTTCGTCTGTGAATATAATATGGACATATTTTGAAATCTAGAAGCAGAAATGCAATAATACAATATTACACGTGCTGCATAATATTGTTCATTCATAAATACCAGTTTACCTTCTAAGAAAGCCCGTGTTGTAAACGTATGCAATAGAACCCACACAAGGATGATCAATATACAGTACCATCTTTTGACAACTTAACAATTATTTTTTAGAAATTATATTTTTCACAATTTTAGTTATTTTATTGTGTCTGTATCGATTCGGACAACTAACACCCCTCAGCTAGTGTTTACGTTAAGGGAATATTGAAAATAATTAAATATTACGGTAAATATTTACGTATTTAACCACCAAATACTTTTAAACGGCTTTCCCTTTTTTGGTAATCAAACTAAGGAACAATTTGTGGAACGAAGCTACAACTAAATGAGAAAGTACGGGGCAAGAAACCACGGTGAGGGGAGGGGAGGAAGGAAATTACAATGTTCCTGTTGTTTTATTAATAATTACTTTATAATCATAGAAACACATTTCTCTTGCTTTTCCGCCCTTATATCCATCATTATTACAATATCACTTTATTATCACTGGATTAGTGAGGAACTGAAATATTACTTTAGTAAACTTTAAATGTTACGTTGCAGCAAACATGCATGTATACTAAGCGAATTTCCTCACATAAAATTGAATTTGTAAACAAAAAGTTTTAAAACTATCAATCCCTATTAAATAAAACCACGCTTAGAAAATTTACTAATATTGTTGTTGGTACAAGGAACTCCCATGTAATATTGTAGTTGAATCTTAGAAGAGTTTATTTGATTATTATAAATAAATTTGCTGAATGAATATTTACCTACAAACAAGAGGTTTATAACAATGAGACCATGTACAGAGTTCATAGACATTTTAATATGTCAGTAATAAGAAAGTTATTAATAACGGTTAGCGTAATTTTTGTGGTTTGTAATGTGGAGAAACGTATATTTGGCTTTTTTAAATTTTAAGCACAGATTTAGGTACCCTAAATATACAGATTACAAAACAGAACACCCGGGAATTAGAGTACATTCCCGTTCTCCATTAAATATCGTTCCCGTAGTGCGGCCTCGGCTGGTCCACGAGCTTATTCTAAAAGCTATTTTTTGTGAATAACAATTTAACTAAATGTTGAATTTGGAATTCAGGGACTCCAAAATACTCCGAGGACCTTTTTTAACTCCACATACGAGTCACAAGAGAGTGTTGATAAAGTTGTAAACATTGAATTTTGATTTTTTTTATCCTAACTGTTTGACTAAAATTACATTACGGAAAATACTACGAAAATTTTAAAGGCTATTAACGCACCACATTTGATATTAAACTCTACTCTGAAATATTGAAGTCATGATAAGGGTAACGTTGACGAGGTCATAGTCTGAGGCTGTGGCTCTTCGTCTCTAATTGTGTTTGCAAGGAAATGGAGTTGGAGCCGACCATCGTCTTACAGTTGCAGATGTCATTTGCTCAACATTCCAGCCAAGGAATGAAAATGTCTTTACTAAAAAATGTCCATACTTGAATACCATACACCTTTGTATTATAAAAAGTTAAAAGTTCTTTATTAATTAGGCTAAAAGACGAATTAAAACCAATACAAGAAAATACAGTAGTTGTATTGCAATGTTACGAGTTGAAATACATGTAACTTAAAATATTACTAGCAAACTCATAATTTGCAACAAAATAGTCCAATGCCATTGAAATTTGTTTCACTAAGCTTTAAAATATTAGCAACATTTCCTAAAATATATCAGTTTATTTTCTTACATTAATATTTAAATTATTATTATTATTATTATTTTGTAATTACAAGTATGGGATCAGCTTGGTTCATATAAAACCACACGATGTATAGAAAGTGCAAAGTAGATATGTTTAGCAATTTAAACGTAAATCATGTAGGTATAGAATGAGTGCAAAGAGTTATTAGAAAAATATAAAAAATTTATATAAAAATACTATTTCAAATAATATTAACAACTGGAAACCATGACGGGAAGCCTTTAAACAACATATAACAACATGCATTTTTTATATAATAAAAAAATCCGAATAAGAACATAACACAGTTTTGTGGAACAACAGTGCATTTTCGTATGGAACCTAACATTTAATACCTAAAATAAACAGTTTAAAAAATAAAACGAACTCCTAGATATACCATGGGCTAGTACCCAAATACCGAATTTCATAAAAATCGTTTTAATATTAATATAGAACACAGTCAAATATGCGTGAAACATCTTTTAATAGAAATTTAGATTATATAAATGCACATTTAACAAGTAATTGTTTAAGGATTGTACAGGGGCAAAGTATTATCATTGAGACTATTGGATACAATTATTGAGTAAGCTCATACATTTTGAGGAGTTGAAAAATTAATATAAAACATTTATAACACCAGCCGATGTGTTAAGTAGTAGTGTTGTGTTAACCTATTTTGTAAGCACATGGGAAATATGTATATTCAGAATAGTCGTAGTGAAAATTTATTTCACCAGGCCATTGATCTTTTATGGTAGCTATGAACTACAAAACGAACAATTTAAAATAAGATCAATTTAAATTTAATCCTTAACACATTTATAATCAATTAACTACTAAACTATTGATTTTTATTTGTGTGTATTTATGAATATGTAAATCATTGATTATTAGCTAATTTTATAGGATTCATTATCTATTCTAGCATGAATGAAGTGAATGAAGGACGGTACGGTATTTCTGGGACGTAAAGTTTTTCAAAAGATATTTAAATGAAGTCGACAAAGAAGCTAGGAATGTCCAAGTGAGTGGATGGGAAGAGTTAGTGGACAGGTTTAAAGCTCTCTCGCACACTCGCCGACTTTAACGATCGTAACAACATAACCTGCCTCAATATCCAAACGCTTAGTCACTCCACGTCTCCAGTTCACCAGCCACTGCTGTACACTGTACACCACCACTGTACACTGTACACTGTACACAACCACCACTGAACACTGCCACCACTGTACACTGCCACCAATGTACACTGTATACTGCCACCACTGTACATTCCACACTTCATAACAACATAACCTGCCTCAATATCTTAGTCACTCCACGTCTCCAGTTCACCAGACATCACTGTACACTGTACACAACAACCACTGTACACTGTACACAACCACAACTGTAAACTGTACACTGTACACAACCACAATTGTAAATTGTACACTGTACAACTGTACATAACCACCACTGTACAATGTACACTGTACACAACCCCCACTGTAAACTGTACACTGTACACACTGTACACAATCACCACTGTACAATGTACACTGTACACAACCACCACTGTACAATGTACACTGTACACAACCCCCACTGTAAACTGTACACTGTACACACTGTACACAACCACCACTGTACAATGTACACTGCCACCACTGTACACCTTACACAACCACCACTATACACTGTTAAAATGTTTTAAGAGCTACACTCTGTTTATCAATTTGTATTATAAGTTGCTAACAACAACGCTTCGCAGACGACATATTTAAGTAGATGAGATGATATTTCAGGAGTTCAGTATTCATGTTATCATTAGGATGAAATTTTTAATTAAATGAAGCAACTAATGAAAGTCTCGAGTGTAATATTAAGAGAACAGGTGGAGAAGATGAGGCCGCCATTTTAGAAGTTGGATAAGTTCAAACTGAAATAGTTTTAGTACAAATTATAATACTTACAAGTATTTCTTTTAATATTATGGAAGAAAATGTTAATTTTTTAAGCACAGTTGATAGTAAGAATGATAATAAACGACTGTTCTGTAACAACCATTTACTGTAATAGTTAGCTTGTTTAGATGGCTTACATTTTAGTTTTATTTTATTTTGTTTTTGTAATCCTGGACCGAGCCCTACTCTGAGTTTTTAAGCGTTGGGAACTAACTATCTGTTTTGGTAGATTTATAAGTGTAGACTTAAAACTCTTCACAAAAAGTTGGTAAAGCTACTCACCTTTGTAGACGAGTCACAGTAATTTATTATTTATGTATGCAGTACATAAAAAAAATGTTGATTTATAT